GACCTGGCAAAATAAAAAGGGGCAATTTATGGGTATTCGACACCTGCACAAATTATGGTGACGGAAGCAAGCATTTTTAAAATTTGCCTTACATTCCTAAATTTGTCAGGCTCCTTTTAATGAAATGCTCATGAGGATGGCTAAATACCAAAAGTGCATCTGGGTTTCAACAATTTTTTGAGATAACAAAGTTGTGGTGATTTTAACTTCTTGTGAAAAAGCCTGATGAAAATATACATTGATCAAATTCATCAGAAGACGATAGCTGCTCTCGATATTCCATAATCTTTTGCTTTTACCATTATGTTCACATTGGCGCAATTTACTAGTCATACTTATTAAGTTTCGATAAAACTGTAAAGTATGGATTGCATCCACAATAAAGTTAAATTAAAAGCAAACTTTAGCAGAGCGACAAGAGGGAGTAGTCATCTTATGGACAGATCGACGTATGAATCTCATGATAAGGCACTATCACACAAAATAAGTCACAGCAGTAATTGCTTAATACTTGTATTCTTAATTACACACTCTATGCCTACACAATAACTATATCTATCATTATAAGAGAAATTTTCTAAGCTTGTTTGACCTCATTGAATGTGCAATACTAAAGAGCAAGTTATTTAGGCAATTGCTATTAAGTGCCCTAGAACTAACTCTTTAATTTGTGGATGCAACGACAATGAAAATTCAACAATAAAAAGCTCAACTAGCTAATTGCCAAGTATAATTAGTCTAACTCTTCAGTGCATAAATACAGAGTATTAAAATGTCCTAATCTCGGAGGCAATTCTTGGTTATTAATGAGCGCAGATAACCTATCTATTTTCAACCTTAACTTCCTTCTTATACTTATGCATTCTACCCCCTATTCTATTGAATGGGACTTTTACCTACTTACACTACCAATCTTTCAATATGTTTAAAGTCAATCTGCATTAAAAAGAAGACTTTTAAGAGAATTCTGAACCTCTATAAAATTGAAAAGCGATAATTCTGTTAAAATAACTTATAAACAATAACTAAATACAGAGCATAGTTCAATATGAGGTTTGTTTCTACTCAGGACTCATTCATTTTGCTTTGTAACAGTTATCAAAAAGTTATATTATCAAAATGTAATATAATATCCTGTAAAGTAGTGACACTAGGCAAGCTTAGATCTAATTAGTTATAACGTTTAAGATAAATTGTTTTTCTGAACCTCCTACGGATCTACGGATCTACGTATTTATGAAAAGTTTATATTACTAATATGTTCGGTCGCATAGAAATCGTAAAGCACTCGATAAATCAATACCATGCACCTCAAGCAAATTGATAAGATCATAGATTAAAAGTTAAAAGCAAACAACATTTAAAGTAAAAAAGCTTCAACAAAAATTTGTAGAATTAGAGCTTATACTTTTGTGGAAGATAACGAACTAATTTAAGCATTATATACAATATTGGGATGCTTTAAACAAAGATTGTCTTGCTTCCTCCATGATTTAAGCATTAAATATTATTCAAAGCATGAGATTTAAGTATTAAAATGTTTAAATTCAAGAATATGCATTTTGCTACTCGACAAAGACTAGTAACCGAGGTGTATTCATTTTGTTACCTTTAAGGTGATAAAGGGACGGGTAGATGAATTTGCCCACAATTATATGAGTAGATGTTGCGTTTCCATTAAAGTTTACGGAGCCCTGCTTTCACGAAAGATGAACTGCAATTTCTACCTCGATTACGTCCTATCAACACCCCCAGAAGAACTCAAACCATAAAAGTTCACCGTATAACCTCTACAAGTTAACAACTACGCCGTACTGCCACAAAAACCCTTTGGCCACACAACTTATTATTCCTTTTACAAGGTTTCATAGGCCGTCAGTAGATGATACATGAGTTGTATTTACTCTGTTTCGTTTAAGGTATACATTGCTATAACAAATACAACTTTATTCCACCGATAATCAAACCACAAAATGGGATATATAAAACGCCTGGTTCTCTTTGAAATTCACATCTGCATTGTGAAAATTAGTTCACAATTCCGCAACAAATACTACTGAAATTCAGTAATAAGAGATGTATTAACGCAATTTTGTGTAAGGAGATGAAGGACTGGAAGTAGAATTTTCCCACAATACTGAGTAAAGCTGATGCTTCCATTGAATTTCACATAGCTTTGCTTTCCCAAAATAAGTAGCATAGTCGATATGACAAAATGCCTGGCCTTCCTTGAAATTCACATCTGCCCTGTGGCCCTAAGGCCCTGGTGGCAATGTGGCTGAGTGGTTAGCTTGCCAAGCTCACATATTGCATTTTGACGGTTCGACTCCCGTTGGGTTGTTAATATGACCTTGAAGAGATCAAAACTGCAGTCCACTGGTGCCTGAATGAAAAGAACTTTTGGAAATTCAATAAAAGCGTGAGCTCTGTTCATATCATTTTAAGAAAATTCTATTACCAGTCCTTCATCACCTTAAGCGAAATTGAGTGAATACATCTCACATTACTGATTTACTGGTAGTATCGAAACTCCACTTAAATACTTAAATTCAGCTAATGCCTAATTTTTATTTGATTTTGGTTATTTAGACTAATTGTGTATTATGGTAAGGTAGCTACTGGAATCTATACTTGCCGATTATTAATTAGTAGTGATTATTGAGGTGCGGAAGGAATTATTAAATCTCTGCAAGTGCAATGAATATTTTTCGTAAGTAAATTTTCGAGACTATCAGTACATCCCGTATTACAATGAACATTACCTAGAATAACGATTGTTATTTTCATCTGATTACCTATGGATGTGTATCAAGAAACAATGTTATTCGAAAATATGAAGACCAAGATGGTGTGGCCTTTTGTGTGGTCGCAGTTACTGCTGTACGCTTTCGAACTTTGTGAAAAATTCTTTTGGCCGCACTTCAGACCATCATTATTAAGTTATAATAGTTCAATTTTATGGTTAATAATGCATATTCAGAACAAAGCCAAACAGTAACCTTCTTCAATAAACTCCACTTTCATCTACAAATCGTATACTGCACTAAATATTCCTTCCTAGAATCTCTAACCGACTCGAGGCATTAATTAACACAGAAAAAATACCTACCTGATGGTTTCAGTTTAGTCCTCATAAATAGTTTTTGCTGAGTTTACGTCTTAAAAAAGCCCAAAGCCCAGCTTTGGTACGTCTTTGCATTGCCAATTTCAATGCATTAAAGCAAGGTTTAGTTGGCAATTCAAATGGTCTATGTCGGTTCACCAGTCAATTGCTCATTAGAGAGTTCGCCTTCCAGGCCATTTGTACCCTTGAGCAGTGGCCTCGAGTTCTCAGAATCATTTACAACAGACTGAATTATTCAAGAAGCAGAGCAATAACTTTTTAATTTCCGTACCATAAAGATATTTTTCGCGTCTTTCTGTACAGCAAGAATGTTTTTGGAGCCCTGTAGTGCAGTTGCAACATTCCAGTTGATTCGATAACGGAGGTCAGTCCTGTAGGGACATAATATCCTTGTACCGAAGAGAATCTCTGGATCGAGCCAGCCAGAACGATGGTACTAAAAACTTAATTGGTTTCCCATAAAACAAGTTCATGCTCTCCCAGTCAATGCACCTAACTTGAAAAAATTAATTTTCAAACCTGGAACCAACAAGCCAAATCTAATCAAAGCAAAAGTCCTCAAAACACGTCATACCATAAAGAATGTTTGAACTCTAGTAATTAAAGATCCAGTATCTTCAGCTTTTCCTTCTCATCACTTAAAATTTAGCAATACTTGGATATTGTGTATATGATCCCATTATTTCGTTTTTTATATGATCAACTAATGATCAAAAGCGATAAAAGTTGGAAAGTTTTTATTGATTATCCAGATAGATAAAAAATAGTTACACACTTTAGTTCAAGACCAGTGAGTATTTATTACCTTTGAAGGTAAAGAAGTAAGAAAATTACCTCGATTTATGAAAGTTACCAAAAAAAGGTTAAAGACAATATAATTTCTA